TAAATGAACTTTGAAAACTGTTTAAAAAAGGAAAGGTAAAGGCGCACACGAGCCAAAGGTCAAAACGGCCGGAGCTTATCCACGTTTCCTTAGAATGAAGCATGCCTAGGAATATTGCTACCACCCCCGAAGGGGATGCTTGTCCATCGCAGTGTTACCCCCCAGCAGTATGTCGCTGGTACCCATTTAATTTATACACATTGGTGAAGAGAGACAAAGTGGAGTAAAGGTCCCTGGCTAAGAATCGGAAACAACGGGACGGGCGAGGCTTGAGATCCGGTGTTCGAGGTGTTGTCCGTTCGGCCACACACGCCTGCAAAAAATCTTAAGCTGATAAAATTACTGAGGCACAGCAATGATCTTAGTCTTTCTCAAAGTTTGTCCATCCGTTGTGAGGAGAGATTTTCCATGAATTCTTTATTTGCCTCGAATTTCATATATAGCTCTTAAATATTCGCTTTGACGTTGTTCTTAGTAATTCATACTGAATTTGCATAAAAAGGTTTTAGGTCCGCAAAAAGGCTCACGCCATTTTTATTATCCTTTGTTTGATTTGCTTTGTGTTCGCTAGGTAATAATCACAAAAAAAGCCAACAGTGTTCCTTAACAAACAAAACTAATTGCTCGTTCTCTTTTCAGTTATATACATTATAAGTCAATGTTGAAATTTCTTAATAATGGTTTATTTGACTTCACTCTATTTTCCGTGATTTTACTACCGGACGACATTTATTCGTAGTAATGCCTTTCGTGCAGGTGCATCTCGTTTTAATTGCGATTTAGTTATATTTATTTGCGAAAATATATTTCGTTAAGTTGTTAGTTAAACAGAGGTAATAACCGAATTTTGAATATGAAAGGTTTTGTGGTCTTGCAATTTTAAAATTAGATCGGTTTTTGTTTAAGGTGAAAACTTCCAATTAGCCTGCGCTTTTCCTGTTTAAAAAATCGATAGCTGAACTTGCAATTTAATTCATATTGTAACACTTTGTACATAAACGCTGTTTTGCTGACCTGGATTTCAGGTTTAAAATAGAATTTGCATTTAGTTTTTATTTAACTCTAAGTGATCTCTGTTTCTATTTCTATTGTATTCTTTTGTCTTCAATGGTTGTAAAAATCATATATAAGTAAGTTGCTTTGAACTGATTTTTCCATTACATCGCCGATTACATTTGTGAGCTAAGTTACGCTGCGTGTACAAGAATAAACGATGAAATATATTTTCGTTTTAGTCGAATTCAAACATACAGAATTTTTTACTTCTTACGGAGATTGTTTGCTAAACACCAAACTTTAAGTTCCTAGTGTTGGATTTTCAGTAGCTGGTCTAGATCACACAAAAATCGGCGTTTATCAATTTCAAAGATTTTTGTTTATTGTTGTCATAGTAATATCAATTTTACTTAAAACTATATTTTCACAAATTTCAATCCATTGCCAATTACTAGTGAAAATGTTTTAGCGATCGGACAAGGAAAAAAACACTTTCAAGGCGATTGAAAAATATCGGTATGGAACGGTCTTCGTTGGCACGCTTTAATGAAAAGACCTGAGAATGCAAGGATAACATTCTTTATGAATTTTGACAGGGATGAAGTTCACCTGTATAATACTTCTACACGCACTCATTTGCTGGTTCTTCAAGATGACTATCGCGAGTCAATGTAAGGCAGCATCTTACTCCATACAGGATCACGTGCTAATAAACCACGTCATCAAGGCCGGGCCTGCAGAGCTGATTGAACACTGCATCTCTCGGTGCATCGAACATACTGGTTGCCATAGCAGCAACTTTTATCGGATAAGCAAATGGTGTGAACTGAATGATAAAACGCACGCTTCCCACCCCGAAGATATGAGACAAGTTCCATTTACAAACTACATGGAGAACACTCTCAGACCTCTCCAGCTACCTCTCACCTGCAGATTCGACTCAGACTGCGGCAGAAGTTTGTTTTGCTTTCTATCGAAGTGCGTAGGTGAGTTTGGTTACTATTTGATCTTACTTTGTCCTCCTTTTTACGTAAGAGTAAAGCAATTAAATATAATTAGCTTCTCAAGGCTTTTACTGACCTGCCTTTTTTCTTCCTTTTCACAGTATGCAGCATCCATGCACTTGGGATGGAAAGTAACGCATTGCCAAATTCATCCATTACAGCATCCTCGTGGATACGGCACCCTAGCCACGACCCTTGGCTAGCCCGGCTCAATAATGTTCCAAAACATGGCAGCACGGGCTCCTGGTCAGCAAAATTTAATAAAACCGGCGAGTGGTTACAAGTTGATCTCGGGGAGGAGAGGCTGCTAACAAACCTGTCCACACAGGGGAGGCCCTCCATGGACCAATGGGTGGAGTCCTACAACATTTCGTTCAGTTCGGACAGCGTCAAATGGGAGTCATACAAGGAAAATAATGCCGTAAAGGTATGTGATCGTGATTTTATTTCTTAACACGATTCTAATACCGGGATGGTCGAGGCCACAAGCAAAGTCAATAGCAGAAGGATGGCTACTTACAAGGTTGTACGAACAAGCAAACACTTTTGAGTCAAAAATCTCACAAATTTCGTATTTTCTTGATCTAGTTGGAAAAGAATCTAATACAATGACTGGGGTTGCCATCAACGGCTCGATCTGAAAAGGTGGATATCAGGAAGCTCAGTTACCGTATTATTAACAAACTAACGGTAATAAAATGAGGGTGTAAATTCAAATTTTCTGTCCATTGTTTCACACGGCTTTTCTTGATTGTTTAGGTGTTAAGAAAATGCATCCGCTGTTATTTATTTATCATAAATTTTGAACAATCTTCAAGACATTTCGGGGTTAATTGTACTACTTTTTTTGCCGATCGACATACCGTAAAGTTCCGAAAATAAGCCCCGGGGCTTATAAAGGCCCTTTTTGAGGGGCTTATTTTTGGAGGGGCTTATCTACGGAGGGAAATTTGCGTTTCAAAATCGATCGGGCTAAAGTTATAGTTGGAGTAAATTTACCGTTTTTGCTTTGTTTTAATTTGTATTTCAGGGTAATTTCCAAGTACAAGCCCCCGTGGGGGGGGGGGGGGGGGGTTTTTTT